TTATCTTCATCAAATGGGTTAAGCATCAGTGATTTCTAGCTTTATGGAAACCTTTTTTATCAAACTACCCCGGTCCTGCATTTCAGTGTTAACTTTTACAAGCCATTCGGCGTGAAGTGGTTTTTATCTTAGACAACTTAGGTTAACCTTAACATCACGTGGAGCTTTCCTAGCACTGTTTCATGACCGCCCCCGAGTAATATGAACTATAACAACGTCGGACAATGTCCTTGGAAACACGATTTACCGTAATATCTAGAGGCTGGAACAAGTTTGTCATGTTGGCGGGGACTAGTTCATGAACTATGTTGTTGAGTGCCATAATTTCGTTGACTTTTTTCCGCCAAGTGACCCTTGAAAATATCATATACTAGTAGAGTTTTCTGTGCCTCCGGCAGACCAAGGAGAACCTTTCCATCGTTAACTTACGGCACAATAAATTTCTCAAAGTTGTCATATTCTGGACAAAAAGTTCGAAATGAAAAAATTTTTGAAAAAATTTCAACGGACTTTAACTTGGACGGACATTAATTGAACGGACTTTATTTGAACGGACATTAAGATGAACGCTAGGGCCTCCAGCGTTCAAGTAAAGTCCGTCCAAATAAGGTCCGATAAGGTAACAATTTACGATACGAACGAGCCTATAACCAATGGAGAGGAGACCGGTTTTTAAAAACCGGTTGAAAAAAGAATTATCACCCTACGATAACCATGAGCCGAGATACACCTGAAATAAGATTGAAGTCACACAGAAAGGCATGTAAATTATGTATATTTATAGCTCCCAACGTAACACCTAGCAACTCCCTGTTTCGTACCACAGTTGATATATCAACATGTCATATCAACACAACACGGTCCTAATAAAAATGGATCGGGTAGGTATGAAATGCATGTCTTCATTCCAGTTGGACAAGCACCAAGCACCAAGCTTTTAAGTTCTAACTCACTATGTGACACTACTTATAATGTAAGCAAGATTTGCAACTATTACACCAAGCAATATTATACCAAGCATAGCAGACGTGACGAACACATCCACATTCGTTACGCTTTACATTCAAGTCACAGCAAACTAAAACGGTAAATTATAAATGAGTGTACAACTAAAGGCCGGTACACGCGCAGTGTCAAACCGCACGTGCGTACTCAGATAGGACTAGAGGCGCCAAGGGCCAGCTAGTAAAATGTCTTCTACTACATCATACATTCTTTTTAATTGTGTCCATATCAGGTTTCAAACAAGTCAAAACAAAATAGCAGTTTGTGGTTTAGTTAGCGGATGCTACTTATCTTAGCTATTTATAAATAGAAATACCTACTAAAACTACAAGAAAGCCTTTCTGAGTTACATTTAACTATTATTATTAAAGAGAATTATTCGTAACTTAGACTAATTCAGTGCAACCAAAGATACCGCTCTCGCAAACGCCAAAGGTAACACGACGTAATTAAAACAGAACAGAACAAAATGTTGACACGAGCGAAGGGTGCGCGCGCACGTTGGTCTTAACACATAAGTGACGTCACAGCCCAAAATTGCTATCAGCCAATAGGAGCGCGGCGTGATATTGCACGAATTATCGATTTCACAGTCCGGCGTATTTTTTGATTCTACACACTTTCACAGGACTTAAACGCGAATATTTGGAAGTAAATTCTAAGGTCCCCTCATCCTTTAATGATAAATTTGGCCCTGAATATAGATTTTAATAATGGGTGGAGGTAATTCATCCTCGTTGTTTTATACATGGCAGTCATACTGAGTTTTTTTGGGTTGGAGTTTGATCACTTTCACGTCACACGTGTCAAATTAGATAATATGATTCTAATCCTCTTCGATATCCAGAACCATTGTGGTGAAAATCACATATTACAATATTATAATAATAATAATTTATGGGCTGGCAAATTGAGCCAGACTTCAAAGCTGTTTTAGCACTATAATTATAGTTATACCTTTTTCACGAGAAGTCACTGGTTGATCTGCTGTGCGAGGAGCAACCACTGGTTGATCTGCTGTGCGAGGAGCAGTCACTGGTTGATCTTCTGTGCGAGGAGCAGTCACTGGTTGATCTTCTGTGCGAGAAGTAGTCACTGGTTGATCTTTTGTGCGAGGAGCAGTCACTGGTTGATCTTCTGTGCGAGGAGCAGTCACTGGTTGATCTTCTGTGCGAGAAACAGTCACTGGTTGATCTTCTTTGCGAGGAGCAGTCACTGGTTGATCTTCTGTGCGAGAAGCAGTCACTGGTTGATCTTCTGTGCGAGAAACAGTCACTGGTTGATCTTTTATGCGAGAAGCAGTCACTGGTTGATCTGCTGTGCGAGCAGCAGCCACTGGTTGATCTGCTGTATGAGCAGAGCTTAAAACGAGTTGTAATAAAATCAAAACGTACATTTCACGAATTTACTGTGCCTTGTGTAGCACAAGTGTACAAATTGTTCTAGAAGTAAAGTCAAAAACCCAGCTCTCCCAAGTTCGTGGCGCTGATTTTACCGAGATCCATTATGTTTCTAATAGCCTTTGTTTTAATTCATTGATATAAGGTATGTTAGCAACGCCTCAATGGGTTTCCTTGCCGAAATAAATGCTCATGAATAATTATAAAGCATTGTTATGTAATTGGTCTGTGTACCTGCTTTGACTCCATTCTTTGTGTTTTTGTGTTACAATTAGAGAAGATCTTGTATAACCGGGTCTCTTACATTCGCTGACAGATTAGAAGCGACCATGTTCACTGATAGCACTGACTGAATACCCTTGGCAGGAAGCCAAGGACCTCGATCGTGACTTTTGTTGGCAACTTGGTCGTTTAGCTCCGGACAGTCTATGCAACGTCTATGCAACGTCCATGCAACAACAAAAGAACCGTCTATGCAACGTCTATGCAACGTCCCTGCACAATGAACACTCTATGCACACTCCCTGCACGGTCAGTCTATGCAACGTCTATGCAACGTCTATGCAACGTCTATGCAACGTCCCTGCACAGTACCATATGAACACCGGCTACTTCACATTACCAACCGGCTACTAACCGGCACTTGAAAAGTGGTCACTAGCCGGCTACTAACCGGCTACTAGCCGGCTAGTGACCACAAAGTGGCTACTAACCGGCTACTAAGCGGTCACTAGCCGGCTATTAGCCGAGCTCTAAAGCAGACCTACTAGTAGCCGGTTCCAAACCGGCTACTAGCCGGCACTTAGAAAGCGGTCACTAGCCGGCTACTAACCGGCTACTAACCGGCTAGTAACCACCAAGTGGCTACTAACCGGCTACTAACCGGTCACTAGCCGGCTCTAAAGCAGGGGGGTCAATTGTCGCATTGCTATAAGCACTGGCATTTGGCCAGCGTGTGCGACAGACTTTCTGGGTCTGAATATCGTCCATAATAATCCGATCCTGGAAGTGTTCTTCGTACAGAATCATAGCCTCTGCTAGCAGTCTGATAGCCCTCCAAGTCCCTTTTGTTATCTTCAACTGCTCTAGCGAATCGTACAGGGACTGTCCGCTCTTCACCAAGCTGCAAACGTCGGAATAGGCTTTCTTGTAGAGATTGGGATTGACTCCTCTCAGTCGTCTGCCAACGTCAGTTGAGGATGTAGCAGAAGTCGCTGTAGAGGAAGCTGTAGCCGTAGAGCCAGTAGGAGTTGTGTCAGAGGAGAGTCCGGCAGGGGAATTTGAGGAATCTTGGCACTCTGTGAATTTATGTGGTTGAAGAGATTTAATCTTACACGTTCTGATGTTTCTGTTCGTAAGAGTTTTAACTTTAAGATTCCTGAGCTCATGAAAAGAACCTTTGGTTGAATAATGGGAAGTTTAATGATTATCTAAAATATATAATTGATGTTGTATTGCATTTAATGAAGTCGTAGATATATCATAATTTTGCAAACTAACCAGATTAATTGTTTTATTTCATGAGGACACTATAATTATTTATATTATATATATTTGTTACCATTTTACTGACACCAGGGCATCAACTTTAACACGACGTTCCGCAAAAACCGTAAAAGATATAATACTCAAATTTGTTATGACTGGGCCGGCTAGTGACCGGTTAGTAGCCGGTTAGTAGCCACTTGGTGGTTACTAGCCGGTTAGTAGCCGGTTAGTAGCCGGCTAGTGACCGCTTTCTAAGTGCCGGCTAGTAGCCGGTTTGGAACCGGCTACTAGTAGGTCTGCTTTAGAGCTCGGCTAATAGCCGGCTAGTGACCGCTTAGTAGCCGGTTAGTAGCCACTTTGTGGTCACTAGCCGGCTAGTAGCCGGTTAGTAGCCGGCTAGTGACCACTTTTCAAGTGCCGGTTAGTAGCCGGTTGTTAATGTGAAGTTGAGGAGCTGTTATTACAAAAGTGGCTACTAGCCGGCTAGTAGCCGGCTAGTAGCCGGTGTTCATATGGTACTGTGCAGGGACGTTGCATAGACGTTGCATAGACGTTGCATAGACTGACCGTGCAGGGAGTGTGCATAGAGTGTTCATTGTGCAGGGACGTTGCATAGACGTTGCATAGACGGTTCTTTTGTTGTTGCACGGACGTTGCATAGACGTTGCATAGACTGTCCGGAGCTAAACGACCAACTTCCCCTTTTGTTACTCAAACTGACCTCACCGGTAAAACATTTAGTCAAAACTGTGAAATTTCGGTAAAGGGAACTGCAGAAAAGGTTCTATTTGAAAATCTTCCAAAATGTCCCTTTTTATTCTGATGATTGTCTGTTAATCAATTTCTCCTCCGGTAATCAAGCTTTCATAACCTCAATCATGTCTTGTGTCATCCACGTCCGATAACTCACATATTGAGCATTGAAGAAACATTCCGTAAAAACGGTGAAATTTATGTCGAGGAAAGTTGATCTCTGAAGATCAATTTATGTCCAGCCTGTCGAACTTCGGCATAATTCATTCTACTGCACAAAATGTCTATTAACCTTTTAGCTTTTTGTTTACAAACTTTGTGTTCTGACATTTAACAATGTATTTGTTGTTTCAGACGGCCAAACAAACAGAACTGGATTCGATCAGACAAAACAAGGACGAGTTGGAGCGCGAGTTGGCTGAATGGAAAGTAAAGGCAGAATCCAACGACACCTTCCAATCCTACATAACTGCTAAAGAGGAGGAGATTGCTTCTCTTAACCAAAAGGTTCCTCCTCCAACATAAATTAAATAGTTCATTTGTATAATGTCAATATGCAATTTTATTTGGACATTATAATGAATTGGGCAAAAAAAGTTCACATCAGATATAAACATATAATATAGTATATTACATAATACAATAAAGTTAGCTAAGTGGCAACAAATTAATTGTTGGTAGCTGTGATGGGCTCCTCGTGCAGAAATGCATGAAAATCTGCCGCCTTGCTGACACTTGTGTGAGCTTGGAGGAGCATGTTGCCAGGTAACTGGTAACTGGCTATCCCGTGAATGGAAGATTGTATACATTTGTTTTTTAAACTGACGAAAGAATATATTAAAGTGTTGGTAGTATGTACTATTTATGAAGGAGTAAGGGTACTATGAATTATGAAGTAATATGAAGTAATATGAACGTGACACAATGTAAATAACGGTGCTTTGTTTCAGGAGGAGAGTTTTGTGAAGAGTGTAAAAGCGCTGACTCTGTTGTACGACGGTGAGATTAGTGAGGACATCATACCAGCCAGCTCTTCTCTACTGGGAGATCCTGTAGGAGACACAAAGCTTACAGAGGGTGGGGATGTGGAGAATGTGGAGAATGTGGAGAATGTGGAGAATGTGGAGGAAACTGTGAGAACTGTTTCTGCTAGTGGGGAGAATGTTGTGTCAGGAGAGAATAGCGAGCAGATCCAGCAGCTTAGTGACCAGGTTTCGTATTATAATTGTAATAAAAAGATAAAACAGGAGATTAACCTTTTCCTCGGTAGTTTTAAAAGTCTGATAACAGGGCTAACATTTTCATCCGTTTCCTTACTTCTAAAACAGGATGAAATCATTCCAATTAAATGCGATTTTCTTCATTTATAACTTGATATGGTGACCAATAATGTGAAGTATCCTGGATTTTCAGGTGACCACACTGACGGAGGAAATAGAGTCGCTAACTGAGGAAAAAGACACACTGACTGAAGAGAAGAGGCTATAGAGAAGGACGTGATAGAGTTAAAGAACAATCTGGAACAACTTTCTTCAGAGGTCTGGGACTCTTCTTCTTCTGGTTGATTGTAGTTTTATTAATGTATTTTTGATAACGTGTTTAACGTGTTTTAGTTTAGACAACGGTTAATTTAATGCTGATTTTGATTCAGTTGGATAGCAGTAAACAAGAAGTGACGTTAGCAAGAGAAGAGACAAAAAAGGTTAAAGAAGAAAATGAGAAGAAACTGGAAGATGAGAAGAAACTGACAGAAGCTAACTCCAAATCTCATCAATTGGATTTACAGAATAAGTTAGACATCATCACTGGTCTCAGGAACCAGATTACAGACTTAGAAGCAGAAAAGCTGGCAAACCTACCACCTGACGCTCAAGAGACTATACAGACGTACAGGGACAGGTTAACATTGTTGGAACAAGAGATGGAGGGGAACGATGATATGAAGAATAAACTGGAGCTAGCGGCAGAACTGGAGAAAACAAAAGCTAATTCTCTTCAAGAAAGTAATAAGAGATTGAACCAATCCCTGGCTGAGTCGAGTGTGAGTTTTTCTTCTTTTTACTTTTCTTCTTTTTACTTGAGCATTTTCATTCAAGTTGTCATTCAGATGCTTATTTGGACCTTTCTTGTTGTGGTCAGAATTAGGCACTTTTCTTTTTTGGGAGTTTCATGCAAACTCTCTCTTTAGGCAAAGCTATCAAGTCTAAAAGAAGAAAAGGAAAAAGAAATCAAATCTTTGCTGATACGATGTCAAGAATCAGAGAAGAGTAAGCTTCTAGATGAGAAAGAAGAGAAGAAGAATGAAGCCTCGGGAGAAAAAAACAAGATAAAGCAACTCACTGCTGAAGCAAAGAAGCTTAACGTTAGTTGATCCATAGAAAGTCTAAAATCTAAACACTTGATGCTACAATTCTAAAATATTTAATTTGTATTCTACCCTATCTTACTATCCAGAAATAACTTCAGGGTATTTTGCTTATAGTTATTATTCAGATATAGCTTTTAACAATACAAATTTACTTAATTTAAAAATAAATAAATAACTTCAGGCGAAACTGTCCAAACTAGAGGATGATGTGGAACTGAAGACACAGCAACTAAAGGACACTAAAAAAGCGCTGAAGGAAGCGAAACAAGAAGCAAAGAAAGCAGCAGCATCGCCTGGTGGTCCGGGTAGGAGGGGAGGTAAAGGAGGTGCTGGAGCGGTGGGTGGGGCATCTGATGCCCAGGTGAACAAATCTTCATCAATATCCGGGTGAAGGGAATGTTTGTCAAATAACAACATTAGTGAAGAAAATGTCAGTGAAATTTGTTTTTGCTTCAGGCCTTGCTATGTCTTATCACGGCTAAAATCAACTAAAATCAGGTAAAAGCGCTCAAAGACAAAAACACCGTCCTGAAGAAGCAGGTAGACGAAACTGAGAGCGAAATGGCAGAGCTAAACAAGAAATTGCGAGCGGCTCAGGCAGAGGCGAAGAAAGCGGTAGAAGCGGTCAAAAACAACAAAGACACCAAAAAACTGGAACTAACGAAGAAAGTTCTAGACGACACGAAGTTAAAGTTGGGAAAATTAGAGGAGATAAAGGCGGAGTTGGAGAAAGAGAGCGAGAGAAACAAGAAAGAGATGTCGGAGATGCAGAACCAGATCAAGAGTCTGAGTGTGGCAGCGGCGGAGGGAGAGAGACTGGCCGGGGAGTGTGAGGAAATGAAGGGTGAACTGAAAACCATACGCAGTGAGAATGCTGAGGTGAGTTATCCATGTAGACAGCACTGAGCACTTGTGAAAGTAAAACTAAGTAACTAGATGTTTGATTATTTATTGAATAATTTAAGGTGATGTCTGACCTTAAAATCAACGCAATTATCACAATTTCCCTAGCTTGTAGAGAACTACAACAGTGAGCGAGTGCTACGTAAGAAGTACTACAACATAATAGAAGACATGAAAGGGAAGATCCGGGTGTATTGCAGAGCAAGACCTCTGTCAGGATCCGAGAAAGAGAGGGGGAACCACTCCGTCATCCTCTCCCCTGATGAGTACACAGTACAGGTGCAGACCAAGAGAGGGGTCAGGGAGTTTGCGTACGACCAGGTAACTATGACGTAACTATGACGTAACTATGACGTAACTATGACGTAACTATGACGTAACGATGACGTAACTCCGTCATTCTGTCCCCTGATGAGTACACAGTACAGGTGCAGACCAAGAGAGGGGTCAGGGAGTTTGCGTACGACCAGGTAGGTCTGGACGCTTGGGAATAAGTGGGCACTTTACTAGTGGCACTCACCCTATCTGCTCTAAAGTACTCCAAATTATCCTCACTTAAAAACATAATACCCATCCACATGATAGATACCGAGACCATGACATAACTATGACGTAACTATGACGTAAGAACGAATGTTATTAAATAACAAATACCAATGTAATGTGTGTACAGTGAAACTTCATACTCCGAACCAAATTAATACCGGCACAATCGAAAATTGCCGGAAATTGGTTAAATCGTTAAAGCAGAGTGTGATTTTGTCAACAAGCATGAAATTCCGAAATTTATATGCAAAGATTGTTATTTGGTCCTGGGTTCGATGTTTCACTGTTAGGCATTGAGTGGATTCATAATGAAAATTCTATAGAAAGAATACATGTATAGTACCGACAATGATAAGTTCAACAATCGGGATTTTTAGATTGTTCGTCTCCTAGAAATCGCCCTCGCTAAAACATTTCCCTCGCTGTTGCTACAAAACAGTAATCTATAAAACCGCAAACACAAACATCCGATTTTAATTTTCATTCTATCCGTCAAATCTCTGACGAATTCTCCGTAACTTTTTACCGAAAAATAATAAATGAAAGGGTTCATGGTAATGTTCAGACAACTCACGTACACTGCAAACCGTGTAAAATCATTGTTCCTAATACCCAGAGACTCTAGAAAATATTCCACAGCATAAGGAATATAAGACACCAGGTATATCCCGGACATGCTCAGTACCGTTACAACGCTCTGCAGGGCTAAACCCCTGCTCTGGCTAACAAAACGAAGCAAGGCTACCGTGCAAACCATTACAATTAAAACCGGTATTATTACATTTATTGTAATTAAAATAGGGATTGCTGTTTTGATGGTGGGATTGGTAAAGTTTGGAGCACAACGGTACGTTTCTTGTCTGAAGTAGAAGATGTTCTCTTCAGAGGTCATGCCGTGTATCTTGATGAAGAGGATGAGAGGAGTAGCACTGAGCCAGATTACAGCTGCTATACGGTGTCCACTCTTGTAGGATCTCAGCCTGGCAAGGAAGGGGAAGAGGATGGATGTAAGCTTGCTAACATTCAGTGCACAAACCAACAAGACATCCACCCCTGCTACGTAGTTGAATAATCCGAAACATAGGGGGCAGTACTCCTCGGCTACAAAGAAATGTTGACTGACGATGTCTTTGAAAACAACCAGATATTGTAGACTTGTAGCGATGTCAGCTATAGCAATGTGTTCGATCAGCGCTACTGAAATCTTGTCGAGTTTAAGAGCTTTGTATTTGAGGGAAGCCAGAAGGACTGTTGTGTTGCCAATCAGCGAGGTTACTAGAGCTGTAAGAACCCACGCTGCCATAGGATATCTTGCTGTGTCATTCGGAGCGGACATTGGGAACTGCAAATATTTAAGTTAAATACTACCGACCGTGCATGAGAGGGGGAATTATACGAAACAAAAGGTATAGAATAAAATTTCAACATGGACGACTCAACTGTTTTTTTACTGGAGCCTCGAAATTGGCTGAAAGAAAATTCAATCACGCCTGATGATTCTATTTGTGCGGAACTGAATCCTATGCAATTAAGAATTTGTTGATTTCCCCTTCATTTTGTTAACAGCCCATGGAATAATGAGCAAAATGACTTGAAACTACAACATCTGGCTGTAATATCGATGGAGTTGTTATGAAAAATGTAGATACGATATGTTTCATTAATTTCTTGGCTATATTTCCATTAAACCGATAACGTCACGTTAAATAAACAATTTACAATGACCCATTAATCGCACAACTGTCCAAACTGTTAAAGGCGAGGTCCTTGCTTTATCAGTTTGAAGAGTGTTACAGTAGCAATTCGTAACGATTAGAGGGTAGCTGGTTACTGGAAAGCTTTGAAGTTAAGGAAGCATTGTAGCAACTGAAGAAGGGGGAACTTACTCACGCTCTATCGGACCTGAGCCAAGGTACCAGATGGTTGGCAGTGTGTTAATTGCCAAATTATGCACTGGGCTCGTTTTATTTATTAAGATCACATCTTCACTGATGAATGGAGCTCGCTCCTGAAATAAGGGTACACCACTGTAAAGAACAATCTCGGGTTTCAAATTGTACTGTCTAGCACATTCATTATTTTGGAGGATCTTACGAATGATCTGGAAAGGACGAGACATGTGACCTGACAAATCATTTAGAACGGAGAAAGACTGTACTGCATGATCATGTAGCAGCTGTTTCAATGGACATAGTAGCTCTCATTGAGTCTGTAGATGTTGCGGAATCTTAGACTAGACACGCCTAGGAGATGAAACAAACATACAGACACAGCCTATAATAACCCTGTTATGTCTATTAGTTGACTGCAGATTAAATATTATCAGCTCGTACCCGACCCCTTCCTCCTCCACCAACCCCTTACAATCCCAGGTATTCACCCCTGACACGCGCCTCCTCCACAAACCCCTTACAATCCCAGGTATTCACCCCTGACACGCGCCTCCTCCACAAACCCCTTACAATCCCAGGTATTCACCCCTGACACGCGCCCCCTCCACAAACCCCTTACAATCCCAGGTATTCACCCCTGACACGCGCCTCCTCCACCAACCCCTTACAATCCCAGGTATTCACCCCTGACACGCGCCTCCTCCACAAACCCCTTACAATCCCAGGTATTCACCCCTGACACGCGCCTCCTCCACAAACCCCTTACAATCCCAGGTATTCACCCCTGACACGCGCGGCTCACAAGACAACGTGTTTGAAGACGTCAAGATGCTGATCCAGTCTGCAGTAGACGGTTATAACGTGTGTATATTCGCGTACGGACAGACAGGGTCTGGTAAAACGTTCACAATGATCGGGGGTGGAAAGGGAACGTTTCCAGGCGTCGCACCACGTGCATACAGCGAGATATTTGAGCTTCTACACTCTAACGAGAAGAAGTTCTCTTTTACAGTTTCGGTGAGCTTTTTATCTCCTCGGTTAATTTGGCTTGATACTGATGTTAGATGTATGATAATTACAAAGCAGTTTTCACAAAACTCTTATGATTTGACTTTCCAATTTTTCGACAAAAAAAATGTTTTGGGGACAATATGTTTCTAATAATTTTCAACATATGGGTTTGTTATAATACACATTGTTTTATTCAGGTGTACATGGTAGAACTGTATAACGACCAGTTGCTGGATCTATTCGATAAGGCCCATACTTCTAAACTAGACATAAAGAAAGATAAGAAAGGTAAATAGTTGCGTATCATAAACTTTATGACTTTTTTTGGGTTTACCAAAGCTGTATCCTTGGCTCTTTGATAAAGAGTCTTTATTATTTACAGTGAAACGTTCTCCTGAGTACTGAGAGCATTATGTACAGATGTATCTATCTCTGAATATAATCATTATCAATTAAATTGTGTTTCCATAACCCCCTACAGTAAGTATCTTACATGTGTATTCCGAATATTCAGCAAATCCACTTTTTTCTATTGCTCCTCAGGTATGGTGGTGATACAGAACGCCGTTATAAAGGATGTGACGACAGTAGAAGAGCTGCAAGCAGTGTTTGATGCGGGAAGTAAGAACAGACACGTGGCGTGCACCAAGATGAACGCTGAAAGTTCTAGATCTCATCTTGTTATTGGAATTGTCATTGAGACGACCAATTTAACAACTGGAGCTGTGATGCGAGGCAAGGTAACGAGTGAGATTTAATTTTAATTTACTGTTTACATTTTTTTGACTTGAATAGAGCAAAACAGGGATTGAATCGTTATTTATTTATGAATCATAAAATGTTTTAATTGAATTGGTTTATAGGTGTGGATTCTTGTGAGGAAATTAGCATATTTTTTGACACGTGACAGTGATTCTGTGTTTAGTTGGTCAATAGCTTAAGCTGATTAGTTAATTGCTGTCACGTGTCAATAAAATATGCTTCACCTCCTCAACCATGCACGTGTGTTTCTCCTAACTCAGAGATTCATAATGAGCCAACTGTTAATGTTTGTATTTTCAGCTCAGTTTGGTAGATCTAGCTGGGTCGGAACGTGCTGCTAAGACGGGGGCAACACCAGAGCAGCTTAAAGAAGCTCAAAGCATCAACAAGTCATTGTCAGCACTTGGGGATGTTATTGGAGCCCTCAGTCAAGAAGCTAATTTCATTCCTTATAGAAACAACAAACTGACTATGCTAATGCAGGACTCTCTGGGTAAATAATTGTCTGGATATTTGATTTATAAATAAAATATGTTTATAAATACAATATATATTATATATATATTATATATAATATATTAAGTGAATTATTATACTTAAAGAAGTAATGAGCGAGTGCTATTGTTGAGAAAATGTTAACTACACAGACGTGGTTTTTAGAAGTAGCCCCATACATGACGTCACACATGCTACACACACAGTTATTAGAGAACAGCTAATCCTATATTAAAGAGCCCTTATAACATTAGTTACCATGGTGACCAGCCTAATAACACTGATATAATCTCTGTATTCAGGTGGGAACGCCAAGACTCTGATGTTTGTAAACATTTCCCCTGCTGACTACAACGTGGACGAGACAGTCGTTTCGCTAACGTAAGTTCGTGGATAAAATTGTGATTTATCAATTATAAGTGAAGATCATAAACAATTATCATATTACTTGTGCCTGATAAATATCATTGTTCGAAGAATTGATTCCATTGTTGTAGGTATGCCTCTCGAGTCAAGCTGATAACAAATGATGCTAGCAAAAATGCTGACAACAAAGAAATTGCCAGATTGAAAGGGGTAAGTTTTTATATAACTTACACGTAAGTCAAACCTTGTTTTAGCAGCGGCGGTACAATTAGTCGTGACGCGCGAAAGACGAATGTATATTTTGTAATAAAAGTTGCGTTTCAATGCTGTGTGTGATACGCGCGTGCGCGGTGTGATAAAATTATTGCTCGAGGTGAACGAAGGTTTACCAATTAACTGGCAGATTAATACTAAAAGTTTCTTTCAGATCATCGCTAAATTGAAGAAAGGAGAAAATCTGGGTGAAGATGACGAGCCATAACTTCACTGCTCTATATAAGGAACAGTTCAACTCATATCCTAAATTCTTAGCACGAGAACAAGAAAAATTGAATAAGTAAATGGGAGTTGTTGATTTGTTGTTAGACAGTAGGTTTCATCTTCATATAAAGAATCAAAAGCGACAAAATCTGAAAAAGGACTTGTTTCGGTATATAATCTTCCTGAAATCAGAAATGATAAGGCGACAAAAGCTTGTCAGAAAGAACAAACATGTTCCACGCCTCCCGACCCTTCCAATGACATAAAAACTGAGACTGACGGTCAAGAGAGACTTCAAACCAATATAATTTATTGAAGATTGGAAACTTTACATTCGATCTTTTTACAATGAAGGTTGTGACATCGGTGGTTGAAGCTCTTTTAATTCCTGTACAGCAAAATGACAAGTGATTGACGGCTTCCTGTGTATTATATTTTAAAGTAATTGAAAGATTAGTCGTGAAATTGTAGTTATATCTTTTTATATATATTTTTAGATTATTTGAGATTTCGACCTGAGTTAGAGTATGTACAAGTTTTGATTTTTATTTATTCCGTGCTGACCTGCCCTGTTTTGATATTTGGATTACATTGGTAGTGACAGTTGTGCCATATTTGACCTTTAGAATATTTTGCTTACATATTCTTCGATTATTCTTGATCAAGAATTGTTGTGTCTAATTTCAAATTTCCAAGATCATGAAGTTTAATCTGAACCTAATATACCACAATAATGTCAGCGCATCCTGCTAGGCTGCATCAATCTGATGTTATTGAGCAATTGAGACCGGGCTATTGTTGAAATCCAAGGTCCCTATTCAGGCCAGGGTAAAGAATAAAGATACTTAGCCCTTCATTGTCCCACGTCGCTCCGTTGGATCAGGATATTCGTAAATTTGATTGATTAAACCAGTCAATGAATCGGATGAGAATGGCCACGTGTCAAAACAACTTGTTAGCTTCCGTTTGTGCATCAGTTGCTTTGTGCAGCTAGCCCCAAGAGTTTCAATATCCTGGTGCACTTGGAAGAGGGGCTGGATTTAACTAAAATGGCCAAATTTCTAATTGTTGAAGGTTATGGAATCCTTGCTTTACGGAAAATAATATCCGCAGAAGCTTGGTACACAATACCGACGTCGCGGAGCAGCTACACAAAGTGGTCAAGTTTATAGTCACCTCCGTTTGTTTGGTCAGACTTGTCCCAAATATTTCAGCTTTGTTAAAAGTTTCTTAGTCACAGAATTTCTATTTGAAATGTTTAAAGAATTGCTTTTACTCATGGTTATCACTGCCGTTCTGTCCAGGTCAGAGAACTTAATTATTCTAATATTCGGATTTCAAAACAAAATGAAACTAGGAATTCCGAATTATCCAGCTCTAAGCTTTGTTAATAACATACGTCAGTAACCAGTAATGTTTGGATTTGATTACTTTTAGATGTTATCGATCGAACCAATAGCCGTTTGTTCTCCTTATCGTTTAAGCCGAAATGATTCATCGTGATTAGGATATTGCCGTAAATTTCATACCACAACCTGAATCTTAATTAGCTGGCATTGTCATTATGATTACTACCGACTAATGGGATGAAAGTTGTCGCTGAATCTGCAACCATGTGCACTAATCTCTCTTCGGACAACAGCTGGCGGTACTTGCCTTTGATAGAAATTAGAAAACAAGGACCATAAACAGAACACGTCATAGTAAATTAGCATCTCCCCCAATTATTAAACCTAGTCAAATGTTTCAATTCGGGCCAAATGACATAAAATATGACGAAACCATGGTCGATTGTTGGTTGTTCTGGAGGAGGCGCCATACCCACAGCTGTTTACATGGAACATTAAGTCTCCAACAGCATAATTATAGAATTATGTACCAAGTTTGCTCGCCATTTATCTCATTAAGAGGGCGACAATGCTCCATTATTAGCGGCCAGTTAACGGCTAGTAGTATAACTATTTACTGATCGGATTGGAGGTGCACTAATTTTCACCTATCTTGTTTGGGGCACAACGAAATTTTCGTGGCTAACGACCTCTGCAGATCAAGGAACAGATTGAGACACAGAATGAATGAATATAAACAACGTAATATTTTCCAATGCCAAATTTTCTGCTGATATAACATTATTGGTTGAGTACTGTATCATAATGTTAGTTTATCACAGCTCACACAGTCAAGCGATTGAAGAGAAACGCCACGAGAAATTATCACCTGCACAAAAGATAGCAACACAGGCTCTGATAAAGACGACCAAAGCTAAGAAGGCCCGCCTTATACTTGAAACTAAACGAGATACTGAGGAGGACTGTTTGGACACTTTAAGTACTGGTTTAGCCCAGAATGCAGCTAAAAACTGTGCCCTGTTCAGCAGATTTTGTTCCACTGAGGGTGGTCTCGGAGACAGGGTCAGAGCGGGGTGCAGATCTACCTGTGAACTCTGTTGATTGAGAACTAGAGAATTTAAGTTATTTTGTGGTGTCTATTGCCCACGTCTACAAGTACTTTAGACTGGTGTTAACAGTAATGTTTGCAAAACCTGGGTTCATTTAGCTTTTTGATCCTTTGGCTTGACTTGGTCAAAACTTGAGCACAAAGTTAATTTTTATAGTTAAACAGACACTTATGAAAATTAGACGAGTTTTTAAGATCGAACTTTAATTGTGATTCAATTTGGCTGAATTCTTATTCTAATAATCTTTAATCAACTTATATCACTATGTTAATATAGTTCTGCCGTATATAGTTACAATGACACTAAAGTTCTAGCATTACAGAATGTGGTCATCCTAATCTTGAATCGTAAATTTCCCGGGATTAATACCGGGAAATTTGTTGAAATTCCTTGAAATTTCAGTTCGAGGAAATTAATCGTAACTTAAAATATTCTTTCAACCTTGTAGCAAGCCTGAAAACTTACATAACGGGAGAGCGTTCCATCGTGTTACTTCAAGTATAACTAGACTGAAAAAGGGAGATATGGATCTCATGATCAAGTGGCTATTCTATACGGTACTGGTAGTTGAAGTGCTAATTGGTTCTGCTGGAAAAGTAAGGACAAAAAGGTGATTATATAAAAATAAACAATTTTATTTGCAATCAGAAAATTTGGGTTTGTGATTGTTAATACATAATAGTCAAAAAGAAACCCTTTATGCCAAGGCACCATATAATACTAATAGCAGAATTGCAGTTTAATTTCATTTTGACTCTGTATAACTATAAGTATTCACACTTTATCGCAAGGACACTGGCACTAGAAGTGCGAGGAAAGTCATTCGAAGAGAAGATAATGGAGGCAACTAACAAATACCGGGGGATGCACGGAGTGGGAGGGGTACAGTGGGATACAGGGCTGGAGACTACAGCTACCCAGTGGGCCCAGCAGTTGGCAAGTGAAGACAAGTTCTACCATAGCAACGCTGGGGACAAAGGGTAATAATAATAAGCAGTTTTTTAAAACATTCTTTTCAGAATATTTTATATTTATAATCTACCAACGTGTTACGGTTAACATGTAACACTAACACTAATAGTGATCAAATTAAAAAGTAGTTTTGAGTCTGTGCCTAAAAGTAAATGTGCCACATGTCAACGGGCACGCTTTGGAACAGCACTCATTTATTAAATTTCCCGATCCTTTTAATTTTTGTCATTGCAACTTGTTACTCAGTAACACTAACTTACTGTATAAATTTAATTTTGTGTTCATGAACATCTGCGTGTTAGTGTGTTGAAGTTGAACGATAATCAATATTAATATTATTGTTGGTGACTATGATTTTATAACACGCCTCAGGTTGGCATACTGATAGTTGGATAATATCCGGTTGGAAGAGACAAGGACAAATGAAACAGGAAATTAGGAATGTAGGCAAATTTTCGGCGTCAACGCCGTTTTAATACTTTCAACACTACTATAATTATATAAAAAATAATTTGAGCCTGAACTTGAAGATGGCGTTGACGCCGAAAATTTGCCTACATTCCTAATTTCTTGTTTAATTTGTCCTTGTCTCTTCCAACCAGATATTATCCGACTATCAGTATTTCAATCATGAGACTAATAAACTAAAACGGCGAACTACTCCATCATTTGATATTCCTTAACCCCAGGTTGGGAGAGAACCTGTATTACGGGATGGGCTGGCCGGTGGGAAAAATTCCGGGGCTTGCAGTTCAAAAGTGGTACGACGAGATCAAAGATTATAATTTCGACAGTCCTTCATTTGGTCACAGTACTGGTCACTTTACCCAGGTCCTTTTTAATAATTACGTTTGACGATGCTTTTTTAACTTTCTGTGAAATTTTATGTTAATGAACTTGAAGTAATGAGTTTACATTTCGACTTTGTAAATTATAATTATATTCCTGACATGATATTGATAATCAAAAAGAGATGATATAATATAAGATATTTGACCAAAATCCATAATCATGGGTATAGTATACTATGGGTACACTATAGATATACTATAGAGTGGACCGCAACAGTGTCTCTTTACAATCCTTTTTGCATTATGGCACGCTTACTGCTTAGCCATCATGACTTTGGATTTCATTTGTCATTGCTCCACTCAAATAATAATTTTAAACGGGCTTCGTTGGTCGTCCATCCACTGCGCTTTGCATATTTTGATGTCGCATGGACAAATACAAAATAAGATCAAAGATCAGCAAGCTGAGTAAAGCCTGCCTTGTCCCGCTATACAGGACTTCTTATTCTTTGTTAACAGGGTTTGGCAAACAAAGCATCCTAAGCTAAGTGAGCGATAAAATTGAAAAGTAGCTCGAATTAATGCTTGGCGGGTAGGGCGGTGTCCACTGTCCAACAACTTTAACTTTTACAGATCATTGAGCGTACTGAAGGTACATGGGGCTGCTGTACACAAATGAAATGAAGCATGTATTATCGTGTTTCTTAACTTTGACGTTCAATTTTAAGATCCGAATATCATTTCTATGCTTGAATTTCAGCTGGTATGGAAGGATACGAAAAAGGTTGGATGCGGTTTGGCGACATCAGGTTCAGGGAAAATGTACGTTTGTTGCAACTACTCACCACCAGGAAACTATATGGGCGAGTTTGAGGAGAATGTACTTCGGCCGCTTTAATGAGCAGACACGCCTACTTTTTAAGCAGAGACACGCCTACTTTTTAACGACACTATCAAAGATAAATACTTTTAGAGTCAAATGCTTTGTTCAAAATAGTAATACCTTACAGTTTCACTAGTTGAGACCTCTGCCATGGTTAAAGTTTGTAGAAATTTCGTTAATGTTAGTTTATTTGTAATTGTTATAAACAACTGCCATTGTTTCTGTAACTTAATTTATATTCGTTTTGTTACATTTCATCTATCATTTTAAAGAAGATTTTGTATTTAGTTTCAAATTTACACAGCATGGACGTGAATTCAGAGGGATTTCAATGGGGATTTTCTATACAGTATACTTAGACTTAGAGGTGTGTGTTGAGAAAATTGGGATTGAACTTCTACTCATATCGGGATTTTGTAACTGTATGGTATTTATCATTATTATTTCTTCTAGTTAGATCTTGAGTATTTAATGTTTTTGGTGGCAGGTGCAAGGTGGATGATGTAGTCCAAACTAATGAATGGTATATTTCGTACATATTTGATATCAGATATGAGTATCTCACAGTAAATTAGAGGATAGAACTCCAGAAAGAAGACCTATTGAATGGCTGAAATATGAAAGACAAAGAGCCCTAAAAACTATCCCGGACAATGGCGACCTCTCATCTCTATCACGTGATAACGGCAGTAAAACATGCGATGTAAAGTTAAAGCACCACACCACCACACTACCGGGGACAGGGCTGGTGAGAGGGGGCTGTAACCATGGTAACAGGGCTGGTGAGGGGGGCTGTAACCATGGTAACAGGGCTGGTGAGGGGGGGCTGTAACCTGTACGGGCTGTAACCATGGTAACAGGGCTGGTGAGGGGGGCTGTAACCATGGTAACAGGGCTGGTGAGGGGGGCTGTAACCATGGGAACAGGGCTGGTGAGGGGGGCTGTAACCATGGTAACAGGGCTGGTGAGGGGGGCTGTAACCATGGTAACAGGGCTGGTGAGGGGGGGCTGTAACCATGGTAACAAGGCTGGTGAGGGGGCTGTAACCATGGTAACAAGGCTGGTGAGGGGGCTGTAACCATGGTAACAGGGCTGGTGAGGGGGGCTGTAACCAGGGTAACAGGGCTGGTGAGGGGGGCTGTAACCATGGTAACAGGGCTGGTGAGGGGGGCTGTAACCATGGTAACAGGGCTGGTGAGGGGGGCTGTAACCATGGTAACAGGGCTGGTGAGGGGGGGGGGGGGGGGCTGTAACCATGGTAACAGGGCTGGTGAGGGGGCTGTAACCATGGTAACAGGGCTGGTGAGGGGGGGCTGTAACCATGGTAACAAGGCTGGTGAGGGGGCTGTAACCATGGTAACAGGGCTGGTGAGGGGGGGCTGTAACCATGGTAACAGAGCTGGTGAGGGGGGCTGTAACCATGGTAACAAGGCTGGTGAGGGGGGCTGTAACCATGGTAACAGGGCTGGTGCGGGGCTGTAACCATGGTAACAGGGCTGGTGAGGGGGCTGTAACCATGGTAACAGGGCTGGTGAGGGGGCTGTAACCATGGTAACAGGGCTGGTGCGGGGCTGTAACCATGGTAACAGGGCTGGTGCGGGGCGTGTTCTGAGCTGAGCTCCTCCACATAGTGGTCACGTTAAATCTACTTTTGTTAGAGCTGCACCGTATCTCTCCTGGCCAGGTGGTGTAGTGAACCACCTGCTGAGACTGGTAAACAATGGCTTCTACCAGTTAGTCTGGTCACTAGCAGAGACATGTTAACCGGCCGGGTCATGGTTGAGTGAGGGGGTCAATAAGGACGACTACAGTCTAGTGGCATCTATTGAAGTAAAGTTAGCGGTCATTGTGTTTTGTTTTTAATGGTTGGGGATCATTGCCGACTTGTCTGAATCCGACTAACCGCGGGGTTCTCAGTCTACCCGGTTATTTTAGAACTAGAACATTGAGAAGAATATTGGATGTAAATTGAGAAAGCAGATTTTGAATACAATTAATAATACACGGTTATAATCAATGTAGAGCAAAATAAAGCTTTAATTTTGTTATTAAACATGGAATAGCAACAGAAACATGAACTTTAACAACGAAGAACTGCTTTAGATAAACTGTTCAGGAGCTGAACGATCAGTCATAACAATTAACGGCACTATTTAATGTGGTTAACATAAATACACTTCTTGATACCGAGGATGAGTTGGGTTCTACTTAGAAAGAAGGAATTTTAATGAGTTGGGCAAGTGAGTGTAGTTGAGTTTTAGAGTAGCTCAACATGATTCAACTTAATCTCTAATGGCTCTGTTTATAGAATATTTGACATTTTTTGTATGTTAAGATTGACAACCTAAAGTAACCTAAAGTAACCTAAAGTAAGTAACCAGCTCCAGTTGGGTATCAAGAAGTATGATGATTATGATCCGATATGAGAACCGAAATGATATGTTAGTGATGATGATGTGCATCCCTCTGTAACTTCAACAAAAAATTTAACTTATAAAACAAGAAACATAATTTGAGGATTTTCTATGGGCTTGAGGCCCTTACCATTTTGGCAGAATGCTAGCTTCATTTTCAGGATACTTAAAATATTATGATGATTTTCTAAGATTATTTTAAACCCTGATATGTGGTGCAAGTATTCTGCCAAATTGAGGTAGCCTCTTTTTAATCCGACCACCATTTCATAAACCAAGAAAGTATGAGCAACATTAGATTAAGAAAAGTTGGGTAAGTAATTCAGAAATAGATAGTCTTTGATTAGAAATGTTTATTGCCTCGGAAAGGCAAATTCTAGACGATTTACAACCATCTATCACCAGTAAATTGAGATTTCGAATTATCATCCTACGTCTAAGGAGCGAAATCTCAGGATTGAAAATCTTAAATTGAAGACTAAAATCTAAAATTCCATTCAAATTATAAGAGTTAACCGTCTGAGCCTACACGCCTTCATCGCAACAGAACCACATACACACACATTTTAACACGATTAGTTGGCATTGAGCTATTATTATCAATATAAAAGGAGTGTTCTTGATACAAGACTCATAAACCTTTGAAAATTCGTTGGGGAATAGACCGGGATGTTTTGTAGGTTTTTTTTTTCTAGCGAAAAATTACGATCATTAGTTGGGTGACGATGTTAAAATGATGGGAATTACTTCTTCAATCCCGGTCGATTCTTGAACCCGTATCAATGAATGAAACGTTCAGCTGCAACAGTAAGTCAGACTAGTATTGCGACAAGTAAATTCCAGCCGTCTCAAGTTCAACTAACATTTACAGTCTACAGATAACATTTATGCTACCACCCATCACTGGGTAGGAGGGGAGGGTTAGAGCAGCGGAACATTTCATTGATCATTCATTACACATATATCTGAACAAAAATATACAAATACAACTGCTGTGTGGTCTGAAGTGGAATTCAGCCACCTTCAGCCACACAGCCTTAAATAAATAAAACTAGCACTTAATTTAACTTGAAAATATTAGCAACCCACTCAGTCCTTAGAAAGTTGAAACTACGTTAAACATGAAACCAGCCAGCACATCATGTGACATGACGTCATCGATCACGTGAGACTCCTTATATGGTCATCACGAGTCGTGACGTCACACCAGTAAGGTCTCGAACAATGCATAACGAGAAACATCAAAACAAATTTGTAGCGTGCACGAAGAGCTGCAGCACTGTTTCTTAACAAAAACAACACGGTATGATAAATTAACACCATTCTCTCTCGCTTTAACTATAGTTCCATTTGTCAGGAAAGCTAGATCAACAGATCTTATGATTCGAAGGACGAGCAAGTTTCACTTTCAGTTTCATTTTCAGTTTCACTTTCGATTTAGTGGGTGTGTCCGAAGAGAAAGGATACGATGGAGCTAACCAATTTGTCACCTAATGCTAAGGAGAAGTTCAAGCCAGCAGGGAGCGTCAGTGATGTACTGTCTCCTGTACCCAGGACCCCAACCCTTCTCGAAAGAGAGTCTGATGGTCCGGGCGGTCCGGGACACTGTGGAGTGGTGAGCGAAGTGGTAGGAATTGAGAGCGTATCCTGGCAGCACTTTGTGCACCTGGGGTCGAGTCTTGTCTCCTGTTGACATTGTCGGAGACTGCACGAATATGCTGATCTGAAATGGTCTGGTGTTAGTCATTAGTTTCGCTATTACTTTTGACAGCCCCCAATGTTCAGTTGATGTCAATTTATTTCGCCATAACGGTCGCCTCACGCTCGCAGTCTCTTTAATAGACCCGCTGGAATTACGTTGATTATTTATCTCCTAATTGCGGTCTGAGAAGGACGGCGCGCACACGGAAGAGCCCCAGTGTAGTCGGCATACTACCCTGTGGGGGGCACATCACCAGATGAACTGCTCTGTTTGAAGTACCGAGGGAGATATAGTACCAGACTCCCCGAACAGCGGGGTAATGACCAGCTCCTGGTGGTAAGGGTGACCATTATACCAGACCAGTAATATATCCTGAATAAATGTAGGGTAGTTGAGTACCATCCAACAGGTGGTTGAGTATCAGGAAGAGCTACGGACAAGGGAGAGGGAGGGAAGGAAGTGAGGGAAGGAGGGAGGGAAGAGGGGAGGAGGAGGAGGAGGAGAGGGAAGAGAGAGGGAGGAGGAGGGAGGGAGGGAGGAGGGAGGGAGGGAGGGGGGGAGGAAGAAGGAGGGGAGGGAGGGAGAGAGAGGGGGGAAGAGGAGAGGAGGAGGGAGGGAGGGGGAGGGAGGGATGGGAGAGAGGGGGAGAGAGGGAGGGAGATAGGGGGAGGAGAGATAGAGAAGAGATGAGAAAGGGGGAGAAGAGGAGGAGGTGTGGTTCTCAGCAGACTGTTAACTCGACCAGCAGGATAATGAACATATTTTAGTACATAATGAGGGAAGGGAGGGTATCTGACATTAATAGACCGAGACCTGAGCAAGCTCTTAGTATACTGTTAAACTTTCTGTATAATATATTAAGAGAGAATATATCTTCAAAATGCACGGGTCATGAGTGAGGGCGGTTAAAAATAAGGAGAAGTGTAAATGAATAAGAGGGGCGACATGACCTGATTCAGACTTTAAGTAGTGTAAATGTAATAAAGAGTACATTAGCAGATAGAAAAATGGCTATTAACCGGTGAGATCATTGAACTGGAGGTATGAATGTCCGACTATAATACTACCATGATGTAATTGTACCTAGGATCAGGTGACATCATGATAACTGGTACTGGAGATGATAAGATCAGGAGTTAGGCTCCAGCTACCATGGCTATCACTTCTTATCATCCGGGTCTGAAACCCAGACTAGCGGGGACTATTTTAGTATCATCCAGGTCTGAATCCCGGACTAGCGGGGACTATATTAGTATCATCCGGGTCTGAAACCCAGACTAGCGGGGACTATTTTAGTTAGGCCCAGAGACCGTGATATAAGATCAGTTATTTAGTGAGCGGAAACTAGACCAAATTATATTCAGGTGTAGTCTGAGTGCAACATTATTGAACAAAGAAACGGATACACTATTACCGCACTAATATTATCTCTGTAACGATTCACGAATTATAAATCATACTAAATTAAAATGATCACGTTATTCTCGCGGAATATTCGAAATAAAGCGCCAACAACAAAGAAAGTGTAATGGACCGTACCTCACTGCGATTGTAGAGCCAGATTCCGTCCTCCTCTAGTGAAACTAAGATTCCGCTACCGATATGTTTCCTAACTCGAGCCGTCACTTCATCACGTGATACATCATCGTTAGCGATCTTAGCGAGGTCCAGACCTGTGGGATTCGGGGTTTGAAATGATGCTCAACTGAGATATTTATCTTCGAATAATCCCCTAATTTTGTCCCAAAATAGAATTTAATGTAATGTTTTTTAAGAACAGTCTTTAAAAAGAAAGTCTTAAAAAAGAAAGTCTAAAAAGGGTAACGGACCCTGCAATTTACCACTATGGGAGATATTGTTGGCGATAGCAACGATAGGATCGTTAACACAGTGCAGAGCACCTATCCTCTGGTTATGTTCCCAGTAAGCTACGTTACACCAAACACCGTTACTGTCACCTTCTTCTGTAACAAAGAGCGGTTAGAGAAAGTGTAAAGAGAAAGAGAAAGTGTTTGTTGTCACGTGTTGTGAAGTGGGAAAGAACCTGGAAGTGTCAGTGATAAAGATTGAGAATATGTATTGTTTCACCGTGCTGTGAACGGCTGTATGAAACCTCGAATGTTGAAGTTTTTTCGTTGTCAGCAGTAGCTTTACCCAGTCTCTGAACTGATATTTAGAACTTCGTCCGACAGACATGTAGACATGTAAGGCAGAGCGATAACTACTGTAAAACTTTCTTTCTACAAATTATTCTATCGGTAACCCCTCTTACGCTCCCGCCATTCAGCATATAAACGCCATTCAGCATATAAAGATATAATAACGCTGCCGTTCTATGTACGTTAGTAATATCTGGAATGATACTAAACGTGTAGACATTTCAGATTAGTTCCGAAACGTCCATTCGCCAGTCGGTTCATTTAAAATCTTGCGAGGGAGAGATTCGGGCACGGGCATTGGGTAACCAAAACCAGCACTAAAACTACTTACTTTAGGTTACTTTAAAACCAGCAATTAAAATCAGTGTTTTAACCAGACACAAAGATTTTTAACATCCTCACACAAAGATGAAGGAGGTATTTTGTGAGGAGCAGCAAGCAATGTTGAGCAGTGGAAGTGTATAGGCCAGGTAGCAAGGAACATTCTGCAGACAGTCCGCCTCATTGTTACAATATTTCTCAACGTGCAGTTACTTCTTGCTTTGTAGCAGTGTGGCACAGATCATGCGACAGTGTTTAGGAGAAAGAAGAGAGAATAGTTCCGGGTTCACGTGAGAGGGGATTAAACTAGATTTTTGAAGAGAGGACAGGATTGAGGGACAATTAGTAGAAATCAAGCTTGCTTGAGATATCGTCTGTGGATGGAACGGTGGATATTTTGGGACCGGATATAATGTTAACGTGATGTAGGAACTGTCAAAGGTGCTATTTATAGACTGATATCGAAAGACTTTTTATTTAAGACTGTGGTATAGACTGCATAATTAGAGTATTATACTGTATAATTAGCTGTATAATTAGAGCTTGTGAAGTCATGACATGAGGAAATAATCCCACACACAGTGACATGTCTAAAACAGACAGATTTCCTATACCATGAAAACGTAACGTAATGCACCACACCGTGAAGGTTTGTTACTATGGTTACTAGGGTTACTAGGTTACTAGATTACTAGGGTTACTAGGTTACTAGGTTACTAGGTTACTAGGTTACTAGGTTACTAGGGTTACTAGGATACTAGGATGACTTCTTTTCTGAGGTACATACTTGGGTCGTATTGGATCTCAGTCGGTTACACAAGGTCAGTAATGAACCTGTATATTATGATCCACTCACAAAGAGAATAACGTGATAGCACTTACAAACTGCTAAGTGCGACAGCTATCATTCTGGTACTTCTTTAAATTCTGCTGATATATTCGAGAAATCATTACCGATTGCTCTATTTTTTCACGTGAAATGTCCGCATTTGATCGCATGTGATGTCGAGAGAAGTAGACACATCAAACGCCTTCTCATCACGTGCAACATCAACTGGGCTCCATTTCCTCTGCACTACAATCTCTCATAGTCAGTCAAGTCACAAAGGGATATATATCAATATGTCGACATATTTGTCTGTAATATTTGTGAGAAGTGAGAAGCAGTGAGGATGAGTAGCGGCTAATGAGAAAATGATTTGACAATAGTGGTGATGGGAAAAGTTCGGAAAATAATGAGAATATATTATAGATTAAAAAAATCAGCAATCTTTTGGGCGGTAAAATATTCAAGGCAAAACTACCAAAATTGGTTTGATTCAGCGAATATTCGGCACTTCTCAAAAGATGATGGACAAGTTTGTTAATTCTTTCCATTTTGTATATTTCTCACCCAGAAATTGTTAAACTTAAATAAGGCATCACTTCTCATTTAAATAAGCGAAAACAAAAGAATATCCAATTATCGATGCAGGCGCATTGGAGACACAATCAATTTATTTTGTTTGTTGCAAGCATCAATTGATATGCGACTAGCACACAGGAACAACTCAAAAGAGCCGCTGTTGTGATCAAATGTTCATGAATACTGATCGCCCATGTGTATCATATACTTCTGTCTCATTGTTGGAAAATAGTCTTATTGATTCCAGGCACGTGATAAAAATGCAAATTAAAAATAAATCTAGCTCGATCTGATAAGCTTGAAATGAATCCATCCCCAGAGATGATTCCACCCAAAATTTATCTCCGTTAAATTTAAAATTGATATTTTGCCGTCCGAATGATTGCTGATAGGATAGGTAATGTGTTTCTATGGAAACTAACCTGTGTTGAAGGTGTCAGAACACATGTCGATACAGATTCCTGCAAATAATTAACGTTAGATCTCCAGAATTTAGATCATGACTAATACAATATTGTCAAACATTTGTTGTCTACAACAACGACCGTTTACTTTCAGACTAAAATGACATCAACATATAATATGTCCTGCATATCTCACACGAAAACGCACACATTTACAATTTCTTTATCATGTCTGTATTTAACATGACCACCAATAGTGTGAGTCTCATTTACACTATAAGTAGACAAGTCCGCAATCCGCACGTAGAACCAGCCTTCGCTCTATCAATCTAAAAACCCAATCACACAATATCTAGATCTCATTACATAGAGTGGTGGAGGAGGGTTGTAGTGAAGTGAAGGGTTCGCAAATGGATCACCTCTCAAGAAACTCTCACCAGGCTGGACAATATTGTCGGGACAATGGAGCTGTTAATGGCGCGGCGAACTGCTGTGTATATGGCATTATGGTATTGTGTGTCCGTCAAGGTAAGTACTTATTGCAATGAAGGGTCACTGGTCGTGCAGACTCGGTGGCGATGAGTCGGGGTTTCTTGCCGACTCCACATAATGGGACTGAAGCCCACGTGGTCTGAAATATCACGTCATGACAGGACACGTGGGCAAATCACGTGATAACTTCGTAAAGGAGTGGAATCCCTCCACACTAGATATACAAGGCTTTGCTTCTGCGTGGCTTTATTCAAATGAGAGATGTTGTCACCTTTAAACGCTGAGAAGCCAACCCAGTGTGTCAGAGAGGAGCGGACAAGAGAAGAATGCCAGGGGAGGCTTGTGGCATGTGATCATGGACCAGCAACCTGCAAACCGCTGAGTGGTAGACCAACATATCAGGGGTTTATCAGCACAGTCATCAGCTGATCATCACCTTCATGATCAAATAACCCACTTTCCCACAGGATCGCGACATTATGGTAATTGAAATTCGGTTACTTCGTTATCGAGGTTATATTTGCCAAGGTTTCGGGTCAGGCCGCTCAAACACAGCCCACAAGTGAGCCGTGAGGGCGATGCGCTTCTTAAAGTATAGCCTGGCACGTCCTAGATCCGGGTAGCACATTTTACACCAAATGCCAACCAGCCTTTGTAAGATTAGGAGATGAACCCATAATTCAGGACTGCGTTTATACTTGTGTCTTGGCAGTAAATTCCTCTAACTCGGTACATAATAATAATGAATATATCAGCAGAATTTAATGAAGTCTCATTATCCCATTACACTTTGAAAGAAGCGTGATGTTAGAGGTGGTGGCACTACTACGTATGATAACAACTCTGTGATCAACATGGCATACTAAAAACCGCCCACGTGAGACCGAGAGCGGCGCTGAAAACGTGATTAGCAGCACGTTATCGAGTACCTCTATAATACCTCTCACCTCTGGCGAGCCTGTACTTTCAAAGCGGCTTCTAACGGCGACAAAGTAACTCCTCCTTTAGTAAACCACGGCAAAGAAGCGATGTGCAGCAGTAAGCACCGGGAGAGTTGTTGTGAAGAGAACCGCAGACTATTTACCGCTACTTCAAAGGAATGGTGCGACCAAGGCCAGCTAGATACAGGGCCACTAGAGTGTGTTTTAATTCCGAAATTGTAGTGTAATAATGAGCTGCATACCGGGCGAGCATTTAGTTGAGGTTATGACAAATGTGCCTCACGCTTCTAGAATTGAGCATGAGAGATGACAAATTTGGAACCGGGCGTTTAATCTTCGGTATTGGGCACACTCGTGATTCGTGAAGATAAGACATTGCAAAATAATCCACACTAGCTTTTATGTCACCAAAACAAACCTCAACTTCATTTAGGTTGGGTAGAACAACCGCATGATTTTCATTATTATCGTATTATGCGAGTTCTCAAACACAATTTTCTCAAATTATCACAGACCGGAAATTTTGATCACTCGACATTGACCCCTAATAATCTTTATCACATCAAAAACGGTTCTAGACACCTTGAAATATGAAACTCACCTGAATCTGACAGGTCTCTGGTGATTGGCAGGGAAACTGGTGACGTATCTGAAATTATAAATCTGTAATAAATCTAATTTTTAAAATTCTAAACTAATTTTAAAAGTTTTAGACATAATATCTTTAATTACTATGCTTCATTTCTGCATAAAGTAAAAGAATATTCCAGTAATTTTTGTCTAAAAGGCCAAGAAAAAAAAATCGAATTGTGATTCCATTGCCCCTCGCAGCAGAACATTATAGCGACATGAAGTAGTGAATGCGAGATTAGAGAGCCCACATTTGCAACCCACTTTCTAGAACATCTTCAGAAAGTCTCCCAGCACTTGTGTGCTGAGTGCGAATTCTCTGATTTTCTCATCCAAAGGTACTCGCTTTCCTAGTCACGAAGCCCCCCTAAAATTACAGAAAACTGACAGCAAAAGTTTACGCGTCGCTGGATTAAAGAATCACGTTTCTTAAAATTCTTTCTTCTTTAAATTAGGTTTAAGATCAGCGATGCTGGCTCACAGGCCTCACGTCGCACAAACTGGCAGTTATTTATACCACCAAACAACAAACACAACGATTTCGACCGATTTTGGCGATGTTCATTCTTCCGCAGAAACGGGTCCGATAGAACGTGCTCCACTAATCCTGACCCACTAGGCTGGGTAGTGTTACGGTCCACAAACACCGCCTCCCACCGCCAGTTTGGCAGTGTTGCATTATCTGCCGGTAAAAATACACATGTATCTAATGAACTGTGTCAATGCACTTTAATCAAGGACGGTCCACTTCCACCAAGCTTCACAGCTTTGTTGGCTTGCTCTATTATAGATCAACACTATTTTTAGCCTCTCCCCCATTTACATAGGAACTCACTTTTCCTCCGCGATATGGGTGGGAACATTACACTGGGGAGTGTTGAGCACCAACTATAATGCTCCGTCAGAAAAAGCTTTCTCTAATCCACTTACAATTTAGAAATTATATCCGTCTCTCCCTCCCACAGAGGGAAAATGCTAGTGAGAACTGAACTAATGATGTTGGTATTTTCCATCAGCTGATGAATGATGTGGATATAACGAGAATAAACAGATCACGATACACGACAGAGGATAATTTGTCGCAGAACAGATCATGTAGCTAGACCCATTTGTCATCGTGGTTTTATGAAAAGAGTAATAATAATAAATGTATTCGTGTCATTGAAGATGAGCTTTTTATTGGATATTGCACTCGTTGCGTAAGCGTCTCCAGGACAGTAAGCGATTATTCCGACACGTTTCAATGTCTGGCTTGTTACTCAGAACAAAGTTACGAGCTGAAAGGACCTGTGTCATGCGGCAGACTTGGTATTTTGCTCTTTCGACAGATGAGTACAGGGCAGATTGGGGGAGATATCGGGCTTGCTGCGGGAGAAGTAACAATGTGCTCGACTTAGGCTCGACTGAGGCTCCACTGGGGCTCCACTGAGGAGGAGTATCCGCTGTGCTTTTCAATCCAGTTGTGGAACATAATGCCTTTGAAACCAACTGACAGGAGAGACGAGAACGCGTGATGTGCACCCAACCAGGCTCTAATGAAACAGGATCGAGACATAAAATCTAGCTGGCTAGACATATGCCTCGATTATTCCATTTATGGTTATGATTCAGCGCTATTCAACTGTATTCGATTGAGCCGGGAGGTGGGGGTAAAATGTTTAGAGCCGGAATCAAGTGGATATGGATGCTGAAGGTACGTATAATTGTAACTAAATTATTGTTAGAGCAACAGTTGGAGAGCTAGTTAGAGAGGTCTATTAAAGACTGTTGCCGAGAAAGAGAAGGGGAAAGACTTTGTATCAAGTGCTATTAGTTTCCATAGTAACACACTGTAGCTCTAATCCAATACGACAGCGCGGATCAATCACGACCTTGGGAACTGGGAAGGGCTTTATTTTCTTCGAAAGAAAATCCGGTACATTCTAGAAACATGTCGCCATTTGTCACACTTCCAGCCACACGATAACCATACAATTGCAGTGAACCAGGGTGTGAAGTATTGTATTGTGCTCCACATTATCAGGCGGACATCAGACACCACATTTCACCACCAACTTCCTACTTATCTTATCAGCGCAAATACTTGTGCCCTAGTCTAGTCCATATCTTGGGTCCTGGATGACGGGATTTTTACCCTCCCTTCTTCCTCTCCCTAGATTCCACGACACCCCCTCCTTCCTCCTTTTCTACTCTTCTCCGAATTTTGTCCAATAATTTCTCCAGTAAAATAGTATTTACTCCCTTTCCTCCCACTTCCTACTCTAGAAACGAGACCATATCACTGTCTGGCTTATCTACTCAGACAGCAGTTTGAGAGGGGAGAAGGTGAGATGGCGTCGTTTGAACGGGAAGATCACAGGAGTGCCGGCTGACTTCATGGTTATCAGGAGAGAAGAACGGGGCGACTGTCCGACTAACTCTTAATAATGTGGAATTTATCTGAGCGACTGGAGGAACTCTCTCTTTTCATGAATTTACTGCCAGTATATTACACGTACCGCGTGCGTGTACTTATCGTGATCATTGTGCTCTGCAATGATGTACTTAATAATTTTATCTAGCCCCGAGACTCGCGGCAGCGAACCTCATGTAAGAGACAATGTTAAGAAAAAGGGGCATGGCTATTGCATTTAATCTGGGAGACACGTATGCTTAATTATTGAGTTCCTCCTTACTCCATGAACTAAATAAAATTATTCAGTCCCTCCCTATTATATGTTCTAAATATACTGAGTTCCCTTATCACATCACAGAGTTGGTTTATTTTTACCTTAATTGCTGGTTCTGGATTTATATTTCAGGTCCTTTGAACTGTCTCCTACCCTGCCAGGCACTATAAGTCTCCAAAGGACACAGTTCTAATTGACTACCGGAATAGTGAGCAGCCAAACTCGCGATCTGTTTGAAACTCTACTCCCCGACTCAAACACCTTTAACTTATGTGCTACATTTTCCAGGTATGAACAGAATTGTTACTTGCAGGTATCAAAGGGCATGTATCAAAGTAAATGTAAATAAAATGAAATTTGTCCAGACAGTTCCCGGCCGGTTCGCTCCCGCGACATAATGAGTCCCAAGCGGGCCCGACATGACAAATCACAGGTCACGGAGCTCAGATACAAATAGAATTACAACATTTTGGAGCTGCACCAGACCGTAGATTAGAGTTCCGAAGAGACGGCTCAATTTTCTAAATTTGTCGCAAAGAGTTCCCGACAGAAGTTGCCGGGTTGTGTTGCTGGGATGTACAATATATCAGCTGTTAGCTGGACATAGAGGGAAACCTCTAAATGGAGCCGTAGTGAGCTCTGCTTGTAGGGAGTGTAACTCGGGTGCTAGATTTTGGTAAAAATATGGAAGCAATTAAAGTTTTGTCCTTTGTGCTGTGTGCAGTGTGAGGCATAAATTTGTAGCCCTTCTTGGATACGTCCTTTGTCATTTGGTATGAGAGAAATTAGAGAGATTGCTCTAGAAAACTATCAAGTACACCCTATTATCACAGTAGTCGCCCACGGCGACCAATCCTTGATATACCTATACACCTACAAATCGTGCGGTTTAGGCTTGCTCAACCCACAATCCACAATCCAATCTACTAATCCGCAAATATAACACCAAGCTTTACCAATCAGCTGCCCATGTGACTTGATACTGACCGATACACAGGGCCAATCAGCAGCTGTCACGTGACTATCAGCTAACCACGTGGCTATCGGATCAGGCACATACCGGGCACGATATCCCGAAGGGGGCAGAAACAGATACCAATCAGTTTGATTGGTACCACGCTGTCCTGCTCCCGCTCGCAGCATCTAGACGTTCATTAATCAGAGAGTCGGCAGCTGGTTTGGGATTAATGGAGTAACCCTCACCCGCTAGACATATAACGTCTACCGTGGCTTGCTTGTCTCGCTACCAGAGAGAGAGAGAGAGCACTCAGCGAACTTTAACCTGACAGTTATTACTCATTCTCTCAATCCCTCTCTGTATTTATCGCATCAAGCAATAAAGTGGTTAAAAGCTGGGCTTGAAGATGGGAGAGATGTGAGAGATGATGGTGTTGTGTGCGGTAAAGTGCCTGCTGGCAGCAGACACTGGACAGCTTCTTTGTCTCGTAAATAAATACCATCTCTCCCAAACACCACCGCCAACCCCACTCTGAAACTTTAACTACTTAAAAGCTTTAAGTGGCGAAGTTCTTTCTAGCAATATGTGACGATGATAAACGCTCAAGCTGAGATTTTAGGGAGGGAAGATCAACGACTTTTCTAGAAAATAATATGTCAGGCGGACCAGGACTGATTGCAATTTTCAGGACGAGATGACAGGTGGAGAAGAGAAGATCTCACTTAGAATCGACAGATAACGACAAATGAGGAATGTCTGCTGTAATTCACACTTCACTCTCCCCCGGCACATAACCCAGGGATTCTCGAGAAGGGGGTCTAGCCGGGTATTAATGTGTGATTGTGTGATTGTGTGTGTACCGAGAAGGGGGGTCTAGCCGGGTATTAATGTGTGATTGTGTGTGTACCGAGAAGGGGGTCAAGCCGGGTATTAATGTGTGATTGTGTGTGTACCGAGAAGGGGGTCAAGCCGGGTATTAATGTGTGATTGTGTGTGTACCGGATTTAAGAACCAGCAGGTCCGTGAGAGATGCTGTTGCTCGGAGGTATGGAGAACTGTATTTATACTGGAATACCTCTAATAATAACACTACGCTTTAGACTTTGAATTATCGCTTCAGGACAAAACATGACAAGCATGCTTGAGTTTGCCAAAGTGGAGTCTGTGCTGTGTACAACAAATCAGGTTGTACTAATATTGTAAGCAAGGTTTTGTCATGCTTTCTAAATTTAACTCTATGAAACATAATTATCTTGAAATTACGATTCCGTACAAAAAGGCGAGCACTAGAAAAAATAATTTTCGCGGTCCCTACTAATCAGGCTACGGAGGAGCTATAAGGCTTCATTCGAACAAAGGACACATTTTAGGAGTTCCACGAAGGAGGTGATGTCTAGGGCAAGGGTCTCTTGCGCTTAAATTTAAAAGGCTCGGAGAAGGAAACCCGGCAAATTCTCAAAATTCTCAATATATCGACTAAACCGGCCACCAGATTAGACAGCCGACTTTAGGGATAGTTTCCACGGTTACAACACACATGAACCGTTAAACGCGAGACTCTGCCGGATTTTGTACTAATTTGGAGTAACGCGAGGAATGTGAGTATTTAGACTGCCGTAGCAGAAACAGTGAAAGGTCTCTTTTCCCACCCCCTGGGTCAGCTCTCCGACAAGTTCAAGGTCTGCTACCCTCTTATCTCCGGGTCCGCTTCCCTGCGAGTCCAGGCCAGCAACCGTTCTAATTATAGCCAACCTGCTACCCTCTTATCTCCGGGTCCGCTTCCCTGCGAGTCCAGGCCAGCAACCTTTCTAATTATACCCCACCGCAACCCTTCCAGCTTTTAGAAATTGAACTCACCAGCTAGCCTTATGGTTTTGGAGGGCCCGTGGCTCATCGTCAAGAAGTAATGGAAGGGATTTAAACACTCCGATTCCTCACATCTATCATTACAGATTGGTACTCTCTTCAGAGTGGGCATAGTTCTGTACAACGGCCACCGCCACAGTCTGAGGGAAATAAGGGCGTCAAAACGGCTATTCGGTGATCCTATTTATAGTATGATTGCAGATTAATAATTGTCAAATTGAATAAAATTGAATTACAGGGATTACATGAGAATTGGGCAATTGTAATGTTTGCGATATCAGTAACATTTCCAGATGTTTCCGATAAGTAACTAAATGTCACTGCGCCGTTTTTAAATCAATACTTCTCCGATATATCGGAGTGAGATAATGTCAAAAAATAAGCGAAAACTGTTAAAAAGCGGAATTAGAGTCTAGGACCGCATTAGTCTAACTCTAAGTTAAATCAAAGCTGTCTTACTTGCAAGCGGTGAGGTGTTTATCCTGGCTGTTGACCACGATGCAGGTTGTCCCTAAAGCTCCCTCCTTAAGGACAGTTAGCAGCAGTTGTAATACCTCGACTTCCCCTATATCCTTCAGAAACACCTTTGCTAATCCCTGAAAAATAATAAATGTAAGAACATCTGTTAGCACATGTGTGGAGGTCGTGAACGAGACATGTGGTTTTTGTTAAAGGCGAATGGCTTACACTTTATAAAGTTATTCACACAAATTTGAAGCGTTTGTTGTAACTATGGTAACACTGTTCAGGTACACTGTATTGTAACTATGCTAACTCTTGTTGACCAGGCTGACAAAGAAAATATTACAGTTCTCTTTTCCAAAATATCTATGTCTCTACGTTCAGTCAATGTTGGCGAGAGAGAGAGAGAAGCAGTTCAATAATAATATGTCATATCACAGTAATATTCCCGGCAGACAGCATGATCGTCTACATAATTCCCGTCCATTTTACGGAAAGATCCTTCGTCCCACGGTATTCACTCCTCGTTTACGGTAAAATATGCGGTAAGTTTACGGTAAGATCGTTCGTCGTATCGGGCGATGTTCAGGCAGCACCGATAGTTTCTGCCATATTAGATAACACGGTAAGTAAGGTAAGCTAATTCATTCCATTTAAGGGCCCTTAGTATTGCTGGCTTGTAAGGGTTCGGATCTAGAAGAACAGTGTTCGTAACTCGGTTGATGGCGCTGTGCGGTGAGGCAGGCACTGCGCGGCTGACAACAGCACGTGCGGTGAGGCAGGCACCAGGGGCCACCACGCACAACCTCCCAAAAATGTCTATATCCTCCACCTCTTCAGGCAACTAACCGATCTTGTAGAGCTTTCTGAAGATATCTCTGTCAGACACTGTTTACACCTGGTCCGGCTATTAAAAGTTGTCAAAAAACTTTGTATTTCTGTACTGTATAACAATGGAGTTTGGTAAGTTGGGATGGTTGTAATTGTTGGATGTGATGAAAAAGAGAGTTTGTTCTTCGCAGCGGTTCCAGTCTAATTTCACACAAACTGAATAATTAGACATTGCAATGAACTGTACTAATAGATACGAAACCTGAGTACATGTTAATGGTTAAAGCACGATAAAGTTAGCACTATCATCTAGACGGTTTTGTTTTAGTCTGATATTGTTAGAATAGGAGAGCAGGCGGTTTATCTGATGGTACACCGTTACATACATGCCCTTAATCTCACACAGAGATCATTTGATTTCAGTTTATTGTAACAGGTCTTACTCCGATCAAATCAGTTGCAATATATCTAATTAGACATTAACAGAGTTGACTTTGTATCAAAAGATCACGATGGTACGGTCGGCTTCTCTTTAGCTGCGAGCTCGGATAAAGGATTACTTGTGAGCCCACTAGTGAGACCGAACTGAGTCCAATGTTTAAGTAGCTCGACCAGTCTAGACTCCCAATGCTGAGTCTTTTAATGAACCAATAACTAACTGCACTAATTAGAGAGCTCCCACAAACAAAGCAGCACATCCCACATCAACAAAACACAATGTGTGTGTGTGCTGCGGGAGAGGTGGCAACTGAAGTCAGGATGACTGGCTGACTAGGCTGGTCCTTAGCAGGTCAAGTTGAGCCATTATCCAATCAGAGGGCAGTATTTGTTCCACGTGATGAGTACCCGCTAATCAGGGAGAAGGAAGAAGAGAGAAGGTCCGGGATTGTGAAGACAAGGAGTACACCACTTAAAGGAGGAATGGAAGAAACAGTAGAATAGATGCTGTGGAGATTGGGGGTCTGATTGGCGTCAGGACTGGTGCAGGATCAAGCGCAGAACAAAAGGAAGCGCCGTCTTCCACCTCACTTCCGCCTCTTCCACCTCACTTCACCCCATCCTCCCGATCTGACAGTCGGTGGAAACTGTCCCACAGAGTGAGCACTTCTATTGTACTCATTGTTACCAACACCTAGTCACGTGACTTTGTCTCTATTAGCGAGGCGAGGATATCAAGATCCCTGTCTCCGTTTAAATTGATGACACCGGGAGTCAACCCCGGGTCTGATAATTGGGTCTAAGTGGATGATGTGAGAGACTGGCCGGGGACAAGGCCGGATGGTGGTCTCCATGTTAACTGTTAAGCACCAGGTCGTATCACCAACCCCAACATCTCGGGTCGGATAGCACAACTCCATAGCATGTCTGGTAGAGTGGACCAGGTATAAACACTGAAAATACACAACCACGTACACACCCCACCTGCACACACAGTACACACCCCACACACAAACAACCTGAACCACACCTTACTTACACCCCCCACACACACACACACACTCAAGGTATTCTTAGACTTACACTGGGTCACTGATCAGTGATCTATATCCGGGAATCATCTGATCGCAGAGATATATTATTTAGAGAAACTTAGACGGATTATATATCCAGAAATATACAGTTACACCCAGTAGTAGTGAGCGAGTGCACTCTCCTCGATACATAATGATTACTAAACACGAGCAATCTGGCATATCATTCAGAATATACGGGTATTTGATATACGGGTATTAGGAGGAAGTGGGTAGACAAGGAACAGAGTGAGTGGCTGGGAGGATCGTCTGGGAGGGGGGAGATCTAATCTCACGTTACTAGTCCACTCCTCTCAATCGGGCCCCACACACCCCCTGAACACGACACAATGTACATTAGTGTACTATGCAGTGTATTTAGTTTGTGTGTGTATACTGTATGGTGAGCAAATTGTGTACTAAATGTAGGGAAGAAGGAAGAAGAAGAGGTGTTACACAAGTGGTTTTAAGTTTTAACACATGTCAGGGGGGAGGTGATGACTGGTGTGGGGAGACTGACATGTGGTTGGAGAGAGAGGGAGACAAGTAGTACACACAACTTACACAACCACACATGTACTAAACTGTCAGTACACATGTACTAAACTGTCAGTACACATGTATTAAACTGTAAGTACACTGTCAGTACACTGTAAGACGTAAGTACACTGTCAGTACACTGCAAGTACACTGTAAGACGTAAGTACACTGTCAGTACACTGCAAGTACACTGTAAGTAGTGACTACTTACAGTGTACTTGCAGTGTACTGACAGTGTACTTACGTCTTACAGTGTACTTGCAGTCACTGCTAGTACACTGTAAGTACACGTAGTAGTAGCAGAGCTGCTGTTATACCACACAGTTAGACCGAGTTAGACTCTCTACACTCACTAAACAGCTCAAACACGGGGGTTGGGAGGGTGTCCGGAGACCTGAATATATCGTGTATTGCGGGAGAACTTTTAAGGTTACCGACAGGGTTACACACTGCTCAACTACATGATATACTCGGCTTCTTTTCTGGCAGTGCAGGGCTCAGCCCTACTAACCCCTACAGCTGTTGTAGAACCCCTACCGTTGAGCCCTGAATCTTAGCAGCGCAGCTCTAGGGTAAAATATTCTCCCACAGCACAGATCTGTCTCCCTTTTCTGGTCTTCAAAGAGTATCACGACTAAGGAGCTTCAAACTCATGTTTCTCTATAATCTGGTATCCTAACAGGTCTCCAGAAGGTATTCCTTGCTAACTCCACCGAGTTAGCACAATAGAGATAGTGTGTTCTCAGATGAGGATTCCTCTAAATATCGTGACTTTTACCTTGTCAAAAAGTATAATGGCTGGGAAGATTTAGTATGACAAGGCCCAGGAATGAGTACACAAAATTTAGGACAAATGAAATGCTAATTGTCGTTACTCTGGCTGTCTCAAAACAGTTCTAGTTGGTAACGGTTCACTGCGATCTGCCTCTGTGATCCACGACGAAGGGAGAGAAGGAGAGGAGTTACTAGATCTTCACCTAGATATATTCCTCAATGGAGGGAGACAAGCCTTATCCCCAAGCCCCACAATTTACACGACAAGGCCCATCCGACCAGACAAGGCCCTGGGGCGCGGCAAGTCATAACAAGACCGGACATGTCAACATTTGGGGACTACAGTTCCTGGTGAGTTCACACCCGACTACTGCAACACAGAGCTCATACACAGACAGTACTAACACTACAGACAGTGTGATGAAGTACAATGTGTGTACTAGAGAGTCTAGCACACATTTCCTAGTCTGTAAAGAAGAATTAACCCCCTCCTCCTCCTTGCTCGTAACCCTATCTTGATACTCCTCCGCCCTGTTAAAGAGGGTAGACACAACATCTTGTGAAGACTCCTCCTCGCCACTACAGACTACGGGAAAACATCTGCAGCAGTAGGAGCACAGTTTAACCTCGTTATAAACACAGACCGTTAACATATCGTTATATAACTTGTTCCTAAGTGTTCTAGAAAGACGGGGGTTTTGAAAAGACAATGTAGTTAGGAGAGAAGGTAGCGGCGACGAGGTAGGGATGGGTGTACTAAAGGAGAGCTCAGGCTAGACCGCCTCACAAAGATCTCTCTTTGGAGTTATGCTGAATATTTTCCGGGCGAGGGGAAGGCCGGTGAGCGAGGGGAATGAGATAACCACAAAGGTAGTCGAGACTGATGTGTAGAACACGTCACGTGACTAACACACACGGAGTCATTGTACAGCTGAATAATATCATTAGCAAGATAAGTCTGGGGTAATATCACTACGCCCAGCTAGTCGGATCAGTGTTGCCCGGTTTTCGCTAACTGTCGATCTTCTTCTAACCAGTTGGGGGGGCGATGTTTTCAACCTACCACTGATAGTATTACAAGTACGGCCTTCCCACAATGAATTTTGAGGTTTGGACGTGACCGACTTTTGAAGGCAATACCGTAATTCGTAGCTATATCTGCAAGAATATCCGGCTAAATATCCAACACTCAGCTCAGTAGGAGGGTTTGATGAGTACATATACGTGCCATCATGCTCCTGTTGTTTTGTCTGATAGTGTCTAATGTTGTCTAGCAGCTGTCTGGAAGCAGTAGTTGTTCAGCTTTAGCAGAGACAGGAAAATTGACATGGATGATGGAATGTGAATGGAGGTTAAATTAAAATAATGAGTGTCCGTGTCAGCTCAAGTGCTTCTCAGATCGAGGTTTAGTCGATGAATTAAGAAGTTGCAAAAATTTCTTCTTCTAAGTAGATGTACGATAAGCTTAATTTCAATAA